TTAATTTATACTTTCTATTTAAAATATTAAAATAAATAAATTAATTTAAAAATTTTACTTCAAACTATTCAATTGTAAATAAAATTATATTTAAGATATTTTTTATTTATGTTTTACATACTTTATATAATAAATTTTCAAAAAATATATAAATATTTAAAAAATTAATTATATTAAAAATAAATAAATTAACATATGGCTTATCATAATAATTTTTGCAGATATATTCAATAAAATTAAAAAATTAATCAATTAAAAATTGTAAAATAAAATATTTTTGTTTATTACTGACATCTAAAATAATTTTTAAATATTATTTTAATTATTTATATTTATTTTAGAATTATATATATATCAAAATCTTACTTTTGCCTTTATAAATTTTAAATAAAATTTTAATATATGTGGAAATAATAAATTAATTTCCAAATAATTTTACACTCTAATATGTTTAAAAAAATTATTATAGACATATTATTATCATATCATACGCACTGAATATTTTTATCGAATTATAACAAATAGAAAAATATATTATTACTTTCTAAACATAAAATTTAATTAAATAAATTTAAAGATTATTACATCCTAAATAAAAATGAAATTTATAAGTCAGAAATCTTACAAAATTACGCACTATTAAAATAAATCAAAAATATATAATTAAAATAAAATATTACTATCTATTTAAAATTAATATTATAATAAGAAAATCATTAAAATACTTTCTATTAATATAAAATTTTTAATCATATATAATCAATTAATTTTACAAAGTGCTAAATGCAAATAAAAATAAATTTAAAATTTAATAAATTAAAAAAATACAGCCGTCTAATTAAAAGAACAATTATATATCAAATTTTAAAAAAACTATCAAAAAATAATAACAAATTTTTATTAAAATTTATTTAATAAAAATATATTTTAATGATAAAAATTCATAATAGTTTATTTATACATAACATCCTATAATTTAAAAAATTCACTTATCAAATTATAAAAATTAAAATTACTTTATTTAAAAAAATTATAGTATTTTAAATATAAAAATAATAATTTAAGAGTTGTATATTACTATTTATCTATTAATATAATAAATAAATATTAAATTATATTGTAATGTATATACTGTCTAAAATGAAAACATAATTATTATTTAGTTATTAGTATTTACACACTTATTATAAAAAAATTATAATATTTTTTTTTAAAAAAAAAATATATATATATATTTTATTTAATACTTTCTATTTTTAATAAGCAATTCATAATTTAAATATAAATTAAATTTATTAAATATACTATCTATTATAATAGAAAAATGTTAAATAAAATATAAAAAAATATTTATTATATATTACATCCTATTTATAATTTTTTTTATGATAAAGTTTAACTAAAATTTTATTTTATTTATTATATTACATTCTATTTATTAATATAAAATAGGATATTTAAATTAAAAATTATATTTTATTAATATTACAATCTTTTTATTTTTATGAATTAAAATCAATTTAATTTAATTTATTACTGTCTATAATAAGAAATAAATAAAAATAAACTAAAATATTATTTTATTTAATATATTACAATCTGTTTTCAATATAAATAGATAAATTTATACTATATATGCTATTTTATTTAATATTACTTCCTATTTTTATTTAATGTTTATAAATTCTAAAAATAAATACAATTTATTTGATATATTACTTTCTATTTTTAATTTATAAATAAAATGTATTTGAACACAAAATTTTGTTTTATTTTATATTACAATCTATTATAATTAAAAATAATTAAAGTTGAACATAATAATACTACTTCCTGTATTTTTTTTATGAATTTATTAATTGAAACATAAATATCTATTTTATGTATTAATACATACTTTTATAATAATAATAATAATATAGATTTAAACTTAAAATTATGTTTAATTTATAATTACTATCTATTTTTAATAAACATTTATACATTTTTATACTAAAAATTCTATTTAATTTATATTATACATGCTATTTTTATTTTAAATGTAGTAAATAAAGAAACTAAAAATGATATTTTATATATAATTACATTCTATTTATTTTAAAGATATACATTAAAACTTAAAATACTATTTTATATATAATTAATATCTATTTTTTTATAAAGTTGATATATTTATAAATATAAATGCTATTTTATTTAATATTACTTTCTATTATTAATAAAAAATTTATAAATTTAAACTTAATGCTATTTTTTTAATAGTACATTCTATTTTTACTATAAATTTTAATTAATAATGATATTTTAAATAATTTTACATCCTATTATAAATAAAAAGTTTAAAATAAAAAATGCAATTTTAAACAATTATACTATCTTAATAAAATATATTTAAACTAATAATAATATTTTTTTAATTATACTTCCTTTTTTTATTTAAATGTTTAGAAATTTTAACTAAAATTGATATTTTATTTAATATGAAATCCTATTTTAAATAGATAATTAATATATTTATAATTTTTTTAATATTTTACAAACTATTTTTAATAAAAAAATGATAAATTATATTTAATAATGTAATTTTTTATTTTATTTAATATTACATGCCAATATAAATTTAAACTAGCTAACTTAGAGTATTATTTTATATAAAATTACTATCTATTTTTTGAAAAAAAATTCATAAATTTATAAATGATATTTAGTTTGAAATGACCATCTATTTTAATCAATAAATTAAATAATTTAAACTTCAATGTTATTTTATAGAATATTACAAACTATTTATATTAAAAAAATTAAAATATAAATTATATTTTATTTAATATTACATCCTATTTTTAATTAAAATTAATAAATATGTAATAAAATATTATTTTGTTTTTTTTACCCCCTATTTTTAATTAAAAAATTATTTATTTAAATATTCATATTATTTATATTACAAACTATTTTTTTATAAAAAAAATTCAAAGTAAAAATTCAATTTTATTTCAAATTACTGGCTATTTTAAACGAAAAAAAAATTGACAAATTTAAACTTAAAAAGCTATTTAAGTTATATTACAACCTATTTTATTAAAAAGTTTATAATTTAAAACTATAATTAAAAATAATATTTAAAATATTATTACTGACTATTATTATAATTTAAAAATAAATTAAAAATATAATTTTATTTGATATTACTATCTTTTTATTATTTTATTAATTTTATATAAATTATGCATAAAATCATATTTATTCTAATATTACTGCCTATTTTTAATAAAATTTTATAATTTTTAACTAATAATTGAAGTTTTTTTAATTTACGACTCTCTATTTTTAATAAAAGTAATGATATATTTCAACTAACTAAAATGCATTTAATATAAATATTACTTTCTATTATAAATATAATATTTAACAAAATATTTTATAATATTTAATATAACTCCCTATTTTAAATAAGAATCAAATTAATGATTAAAAATAAAATTCTTTTTATTATAATTACTGGCTATTTATAATAAATATTAGATAAATTTAAGTACCAAAAAAAAGAAATATTTATTATTACGCCCTATTATTAATATTTTTTTTTTATAATTAATCTACATTCTTAAATTATATTATAAAACTCCCTATTATAAAATAAATATTTTTATTATTGAAATAAATATTATTTATAATTAAATACTTGCTTATTTTTAAATATATTTAATATTTAAACATATTACAATATTATAATTATTTAACTTTCTATTTTTTATTATTTATATGACTTTTATTGATTTTAATACGCACTTTTTATTTTATTATAATATCTATTTTAATTTAATATTATTTTACATTATAAATCTACATTATAATTTAGTTTTATTTAATTATTTTTAATTTAAAATACTCTCTATTTAAAATTTATTAAATATATATATATTTATTATATTTACCTATTTAAATAGAAGTATTTTTAGTTTTATAATAATAATTTTAGATATTAATTTTACACACTAATATTTTTTTTTATTATTTTAAATAATTATTTTTATTATTTACAAACTGCATTTTTAAAAGGAATTAAATTATTTATATATTTATTTATATTAATAATACTAACTAATAAAAATATTATTATTTATTATAATTGCGATTAATTTTTTATACGCACTATTTTTTTAATAAATTATATATTCTTTATGTTTTTTTTAATTACAATCTATTATCTAATAAATTAAAATTTTTAAATAATAAATTACATCCTTATTATTTTATAAAATATATATATATATATATATAAATATATATATATATATATATATATATATATATATATATATAATATATATTTACGCTCTAAAAATTTTCAATATTATTTACAAAAAAAAATTATTTATAATTTTTTATTTACATACTAAAAAATAAATTTATCTTATTTATTTTTTTAAAAATAATTTTATACTTCCTATTTTGTATAGATTTATAAAAATTATTTTTATAAAATATAAATAAAATATTTTTCTGTCGATTACACACTTAAATTAAAATATTAATATTTTTTTAATTATTATTTATGATTACGTCCTTTATTATTTTTTTAATATTTTTTCATGTTTTTTATGAATAACATATTTTTTTTACCTAAAATAAATAATAATTTTTAAGATGCAATTCAATATTATCAAAAATTTTTACACACTATTATAAAAAAAAATAAAAAATAAAAATAATTAAATATTAAATATTTAATAAGTTTATTATAAAATATATTATTTCATATATATATTAAATTACATGACTTTAAAAATAATATAGCTAAGTAAATAGAGTAAGAATTAGCAAAAAATTGTAAATCTTAAGACATAATTATATATAAATGATATATAAAATTATATAAACCTTTGACATACTATACAAAATATAAAAAATAATTTTTTTAAAATTGAATTTATTTTTTAATTAATATAATAAAAATATATTGAAAAATCTATTTAAAAAAATTTAATATTGTCATATCAAAAAAATATATATAAATATTTATATTTATATATATATTTATATTTATATTTAAAAATATATTTATATTTATATACATATAATAATATTTTTATAATTTTATATATTTTTTTATTATTTTTAATATTAATATCTTTTTATTATAAAAATTTATCATTTTATTTAATTTTCTTAATTAATTTCTAGATCTTTAAATTTTATTTTATATTTATTTTTATTATAGTTTTTTTTTAAAAAATAATTATATAAAAATATTTAAATGTTAAAAATTTTGATTTTAAATATATATTTTAATTATTTTTTTATTATTTTAATAGATATTTTAAAAACATCTGATTTTAAATAATTTTTTTACCTTATATTAAAATATAAAATATATATATAAATATTTATATCATATATTTATTTATATTTATATTTATACTTATATAATTTTTTACATAAATATGTTTTAATTTTTATTTAAAAATAATTTTTTTAATTTAATATTTTTTTTTTATTTTATTCGCATTATATTTTTATTTAAAAATAATTTCTTTTTTTATTAATTTTTTTTTTTAATTTTATTATACTTTTTTTTTTTTTTTTGCATATTATATATTTTTCTTAAAATTAAACTTTTGAAATTCTTAATAATTTAATTTATCTTCCTGCATATAATTATTTTTATTTTAAATTTGTTTTTTATATTATATTATTTTTTTATTTTTATTTTAATTTTATTTTTTTATTCTTTTATTTTATATTGTTTATTTTTTTTCTTTTTTATATTTAATTTAATACATATATTCAAATATTTTATTTTATATAATATTTTATTTTGTTATCATATAATGATTTTATTTTAGATTTTTATTAATTTATTTTATATTTTTTTTTACTTTAATTAACTTTTAACTTTCTCTTTTTTTTTTTTATTTTCTTATTTTTTAATATTTATTTTTCTAATATTTTTATTATTATAACTTCATCTTTTTATAAATTTAACTTTTTTTTTAATTTAATTTAATTTTCTTTTCAAATCTCATTTAATTTTACTTTATCTTTATTTATATTATTTAATTTCTAACTTCCTTATTATCAAGTTAACTTCTTAATTATCATAAAGCTGCTTTTTTCTTATCTTCTTTCTTAGTATTATTAAATTATATTTTAATCCTTTTTTCCTTTTTTTCGATGTAATTTATTGAGCGTTTTTTCCCTTTTTTCCTATAAATTATATTCAAAAAATGTTCATTCTAAAAAAATTGTTATTTAATTCTTTATTTTGCTATATGAAATACTTTTAACTTTCAACTGAATTTTTTTTCTAAATATCTGGCCTATTCTTCAATTTCTTTTAAATAATATTTTACCTTTTTCATTTTCATTTATTTCATATTCCATATTAAAATCATTATCTTCAATTTATAATTTAAAGTTATCAGTTTTATTATTAAATCCTTATATATTTCATATACTCTTTATAAATCTGCAAATTTACCTATTTCTTAATCATCGATAAACATATAAAAATCTAAGAATTTAGAAAATGGGCAAAAGTTAAATCATTCTCCAAAATTTTTTAGAAAAGATGATATAGTTTACTTCAAACCTAAAAATTTATTTAATTAAAAATTCGAAAACCAACTCAAGCCAATTATATTGAAAACATAATGCCTTAAAATAGCTTAAAAAAAAAAATTGAGAAAAAAAAAGTATTTGTGAATTTAATTAAAGAGAATAAAATACATTTAATTGGTTATTTTATGAAAAGCAGTTTCCTTATCAACTTTATGTTAAGTACTCGAAATTTAACCCTTTGCTAATTTACAAAAGTGGAATTTCAATCGGTAAAAGTTTTAAATTATGCCTAAAAAGATTAAATTTATATTGCCAAATATGGTAATTCATTATCATATATATCTCCTTATTTTTCTGGATAAAGATCCTGGAATTTATTTCAAATAAAAAATATGCAAAAAATAATGAGCTCTATATTTCTTAAACTTATAAACACAAGGCTAATTTATTTCAAAATTCGGAATATTCAATTGTGTAAAAAATTAAATATTCTTTCAATTATATTTAATTTAATGCCTTATATATCAAAAAGTTTTCTATCTTCTTTATAATTAAAATAACCTTATATAAGATAATAAAAATTATCATTTATTAATTGCTTATTGATAAAAATAACATTTTTGTTGCTAGAAATACAGATATATTAGTCTAAAATTAAAAATTTGATTATTTACGTTTTTTTTAAAAAAAAAGTTTAAATTTATGAATAATAATTATAGTAAATAATAATTCATTTAAACTTAATATCTTTATATAAAAATATTTAAATATGAAACTGTTTGTTATTTCATTTTTATAAGACTTATAATGAATGAAAAATAAAAAAAATATATATATAATTACTATATTATATAAAGATTTAAAACTTTTTAAAAGTATTTTTTTTTTTTAATAAATTTCTTTTAAAAGTATTAAATATATTTAAATTTATTTTATATTTTAAATTATTAAATTATTTTTCTTTTTTTTTGAGTTTAAATTTATTTAAAATTTAAGAATTTAAAAATCTTTATTAATAAGTTTCTTGAGTAAAATTATTATATTACTAAAATATTAATAAATTATTTATTATCTATTTTTTGAAAAAATTATATTTATATTTAAATTACATATTACATAAAACACTAATAAAAATTAATCATTTTCAAACTTTATTTTTTAAAGTAATTTTTATAATTAAAATTAAAATGTTTAAATATTATTTATATATTTTTTTTTATATCAAATTAAATAAATTTTTTTTTAAATATATAAATAATAATATCTACTTTATAATATTTCTTTTTTATTAAAAATAATAATAATGTATTTATTTATATATAAATTATATTAAATATATATTACATACTTATAAGATATTTCTAAATTAATAATTGTTTAATTAAAAAAAATAATATTTAATTAAAAAATAATTAATAAATATTTAAATATAATTAATATAAATATGTTTTATATTATTAATATAATATTATTAGAAAATATATATTGTAAAAATAATCATTATATAATATATAAATGATTAAAGAAAAAAATAATATAAATATTATAATAAAATTATATACTTAATAAATTCTTTTAGATAACTATATATTAAAAAAAAATACTATAATAATTATTTTTACTTTCATTAATAATAAAAAAGATTGTTTTAAATATTTTAAAAATATTCTTTTTAAAAGAATTAAAATATAAATAAATATAATTTTTTTTTTGGTAAAAAATATGATTTAAAATAATAATTAAAAAAATAAAATGTATATTTTATCAGCCTAGTTAATAAAGTTTAAGAAATTAAGAATAAATGTATTTATAATTTTATTTATAAAATAAAAATAATATTAATATTAATATTTTTTTAAACAATATCTAATATTTTTAAATCTTTTTAAAAAAATATTTCTTGTTATTTTATCTTTTGTAATAATATTATTCTGTAAAGTTTTAAATTATATTAGACATTCTATGAAACTAATTATAATTATTCTTTTTTATTTTATATAAACAAATTATAAAACCTTATTAAAAACATATTATTTAAATCTATTTTATTTTTGTTATTTATAGATTTTAATTGTATAAAAGTTGATTTTTTTAAAATTATTAGTAAAAAATATATACCGACTCATGATTTATGTATTCTTAAAAAAATATTTAATATTAAAAAATTTACTTATATGCATTATTTTCTAAAAACCGATTTTTAATTTCTTTTTATTCGAAAAAAAAGATTATTATTTATTATAATAAATAATAAAATATTTTTTTTTTTTCCTTAAAATTTTTTCTTTTTTTATTCGTAAAGATATAAATAAATTTATTGATTAAATTTTAAAAATTTATTAAAATATTATGATTATATAAATATAAATGTCATATTTTAGATTTTAAATATATTATTTTTTAACAAAAAATTATATTATTAATTGAAATTTAAAATAAAAACTACGAGAATAAATATAATTTAATTTAAATTTTTGTTGAAATAAAAAATTATTTTATTTTAATTTAATAAGTCCTTATTTTTTTATTTTTTAAATATTAAATTATAAAATTTATTATTTATATTTTAATATTTAAATAGAAATAAAAAAATAATTAATATTTTTTATTATTTCATTTTATATAAATGAATTAATATATATATATATAATATAAAAAATCTATATGCTCAATCCAATTTTCATCTTTTTTATTATTTTTAAATATTATTTAATTAATATAATATTCTTAAAAAATACCTTGTATTTGAAATCTGAATTAAGTTTATAATTGTTAATATTAATATAATTTTCTATTATAATTTGATTTAAAACCTTAATAAATATGATTATTAAAAATCAAAATATTCTATAATACCTTGAATTACTTTTAAAATAAGATATTAAATAAATATGTAATATTATAATAAAATAAATAAATAGAAATATATAAATTTTATTCTGTTTAAGTTTTAATTAAATATTTAATAAATTTGCTATATTTTTTTTAATTAATTATAAATTACATTGTTCTTTTAAAATATTTTATCAAAACATTTTATATCATTAAATAATTTTACACACTAATTTCATTTAAATATATATTAAGACAATTATCATAATTGAAAATACATCCTATTTTTAATTAAATAATAATAATTAAAAGTATAAAAAAATATTACATCCTATTTTAAATTAATAGAAATACAAAAATAGATTTTAACATTCTATTATTGATTTAAAAGTACATATTTATATAAAATAATCAGAAAATACGAGCTATTAATTTGATAACCATAAATTAGATTATATAATTACGATCTATAATATATAAAATAAGTAAATAATAAAATTATTAAAAAATAATTATTACAGTCTTATTTTAATAAAAATAAATCTTATAAACTTGTGAGAAAATAATATTATACGCACTTAATATTATTTATAAAAATAATACAATAAAAATTTATTAATTTTTACAATCTATTTAATATAAAAAATACTAAAATTATAATTAATGTTAATTACTTATTAAATCTAAAATAATTTAATATAAATTAAAATATAAAAATGCATATAATTAACCTAATTCAACTTCAATAATAAAATAAATATTTAAGTAAATTAAATATTATTAACATCCTCCTTTTTTAATTATTATTTTAATTCTCAATTAATAATTTAAATATTAAACCGACTATATTTTTAAAAATATATTATTAAAAGTTAATACATATAAAAGTTACATTCTTTTTTTACATTAAATTATTTTTTAACCTTAAAAAAGTAAAAGTATAAATAATTACATCCTATATTATGTTTATTAAATAAAAAACATAATAATAAGTTAAATACAATTCTCTATTTAATAGTAAAAAATTATAAATAAAAAATAAGAATTAAATTAAATATAATAAAATCTAATTTTATTATCTTTTAGTTAACATATATTTGTATATTTTAATTAGAAAAATTAAAATTTTATATAATTTATAAATTTAAAATAAGTTAATTATTTTAATACATATCTTTTTAATACACTCTTTTTTTTATACATTTTTTTAAATCAATCATTAAAAAAGTAATTTATAATTATACATTCTATTTTAAATAAATAAATAAAACTGTAAAATATATATAATCTTACTTTCTTTTGATTTTGATACATTAAAAAAAATAAGATAAAATATGTAGAATTTACGCAATCCTAAAATAATTAATTTAGTAATTAATTTATTAAAAAATTTATTTACACACTATTTTTTTTAATTAATTTAATTTGATTAAAAAATATTAAAATTAAAAAATACATTCTAATTTTTTCTTAAATTTATTTAGAGGAGGATCTTACATTGCTCTTTATTATTAAGGATATTATATTTGATTTAAATTAGTTCATATAAATTATTTTACTTTCTATTTTGAATTAA